TCCTTCATCCATCTATCGCTCGTCGTCTGTCTCGTTGTCGTGTACTGATGTCACGACCTAGGATCTAGACCCACCGGCCCTTAGCCTAAGCTGGGTCTAAACTCCTAAACCCTCAGCCTTAACCTTACACCCTGCACATCGGGGCAAGCGGCTCACGACGCTGCTCTGAGATCTCTGCGACCTGGCAGGAACGTCGCATCAGGACTCTTAGACGTTGCTTTTTTGGCTTTCGGTGCTCTCGTTCTAGGGGCTTTCATTTTGAATGCGCGGCACCATCTCCGAAGAGCGCGCCTCGGGAGCGCAGGGGGCTTTCAGATTCGGGCCTGGGATTCATCTGTTACGCTGCGGCTTAAGGCCTCATGCCTGAGTAAAATCCGGTCAGCTCCGTCACTGGTCCCTGTACATAGGTTTGGCATGCATGTCCTCCACCGGCAAACATACTCTCGTTCCATGCGAGTCGAAACCAGACTCCGGGCCCGAGCAAGCCAAATGACGACAACCTGAACCCAACCACCCTTTCCAAAACAGGAGTTGTGTCAACTCGGCTGCACTCTGAAAGACAAGCCGGGAAAGCAGGTGTTCCCATCCGGATAGACCCATTACCATCCTGCGGATGCTGCGGGGGTTTCTAGCGAGCTTTACAGGCCACTTCAGGATCCGGAAGCATCCAGCCGGGTACGACATACATACGATGTTGGGTTCAGGTTTTGGGTGTCCTGGTGTCGGCAGAAACCAGGCTGAAAGCACTGACGCCCGGGTGGTGTCTGATTCAAGATTCAGGGGCCTTAGGGGGTTCAGCGACAAGGACGAAGGGACTTAGGGACTGGGGCCGGGATGACCGGAAGCACCACGACCCCAAACCCTGAACCCCAAACTTTTTGAGAACCCTGAACCGGAAAGACCGAAGATCCCAGAACCAGCTTTGTCCTGGCTGTTGCCGTTGAAGCGGAGCGACTTCAGGCTGGCCCTTGACTTTCACTTTCAAGGTCCGCTAAATGCCCGCTAAATGCGTGCTGAGGAAAGGTACTGGGGTGGGGTTGGGCTCTAGGCTTTCGGGGTTGGCCTTGACTGCAGTACTTATGGTCGCAGAGTCGCAATGCTGGGTATTCCAGGAAGTGGCTGGCGACGCTTTACAGCACTCTTTCGCAGACGTCTCTTCTAGTACAACGTTTAAGTTGTGCCACAACCGGCGGCTATTAAAGTAATTCAACTCATGAACTTGCACTCTGGGTCTCCCTGCGCGCTGGTCGATCGCTTCCGAAAGCTACCTCCGCAGAACAACACAGAACAAGGCTTTCCTGGTGCAAGGTATCTTGCTCGAGCTCGAAATGGATCTTCGAAACTTGTAGAAACCGGGCCGAATCCCCAGACCCAAGATGCAAACCTTGCAGCTTCAGTGCAAGGTTTCTCCACAGCTTCGTTGTAAACCCCAATTCCCTGTTCAGAACTTTCAAGCAGCAGACTTGCACGAAGTCTTCAACCTTGAAATCAACCCCGCTGCAGCTTCAAAAAATTGGGCTCCTCCCCCCGGGCCTGAGCTGTGAAAGAACTTCGCCTGGCCAGCCCTTGGGCGATGTCAATGTCATTTTGGCTTGGAGTAGAGGGGAGCGGGGCCTCGGGTTTGGGTATAGGCTTTCGCTTAGTGAAGATCCTGGAATCATGCAGACTGGGATACGAAAGTAGGAATGGTAGTGGAGGCCATTCTAGATTTTGCAACCCTTTAAGGTCTAAGTTACGACACACTCCCGTCAGAACAGATACCGCAAACAAAGCCCCAGCTTGGCTCCACAAATCTTTCGTCTCTTCGTAAGTCTCCCGACGAAAGGGAGCTTTGAAGATTCAACGTTTCCTTTTCAGGAGCTTTCAATCCTTCTCGTTTGGGAACTTCGGCTCGCCGCGTTCATGCCGAGGATCGCTGTGAGGTAGCTGCGGTCGCCGACTGCGGGAAAGTCGCTCATCGCACTCCTGTGGGTAGCTTGCACTTCAGGCGACGAGTGTTAAGACTGTACACACACACACACACAACAAAGAAAGACCACGACCAGCGCTGCCTGTGCTACCGTTACTCTTTGAAGTAGCACCCTGACATTTGACCGCATTTCCCAAAGTCCCATCTGAACTAACTCCTAGCCCTCGATAAGCCCCGGCTCAGCCCCAAAGATGGCGAAGCAGACTTCAGGCTTCGAAGTTCGAGGATTTAGCTTGAGGTTGTGGGGTGTTTCGGGCCCAGCAAACTTGTAACAGCTGGCCTGCCCATGACGTTGGCGCTCCTGCCACGAGTGGCTTCGAGGCTGGCTTTTAAGTTAGGGCCATGCGAGCAGGGATCTGATTGAGCTGCAGTCGGAAATTGGCAGCTCACACAGAACTTGTTGTCGTTAATGCATCCCGGCCTAAGAATGCGAACATCAAGTAAACTCATCCGAAGAGCAAGATGCGCTATGAAGTGGCAACGGCTCATGACAACATCGGGCCGGGCGGACATGAGCCGCAGCGAAATATTCGTCGTCTTGTGCAAGACCTGGACCAGCAATGCCGGCAATGCAGTGCACGTCACACGACACCGACGCCGAGTTGTAGATGGACTTTCTCGGTTAGATCCACTGCTCCACCAAATCCGACAAGCATCCGCCGATCGATCTAAATGCTAGCCATCGGCAAACCTGTCTATCGGTCTATCAGGCTCACCAAAATGCTTGTGCTTGCATATACTCTGTATATGGGCGGTTACCCCAGATTTCATAAATTCCCGCGATCTATGTATGTATGTAAGTATGTAAGTATGTAAGTATGTATGTATGTATGTATGTATGCATGTATGTATGTATGCATGTAGGCAGGCAGGCAGGCAGGCAGGTGTGCATGCATGCATGCGGATACATGCATGTATGTCTATGTGTGTATACATATATATATATATATGTACTGTAGTTATGTGTAGTGCGCGTATACATGTATGCATGCATGATTGCATGCATGTGTGTGTGTATGCATGCATGCATGTGTGTATGTATGCACATGCCAACAGACAATCATAAACGTGTGTGCAGTACGAAGATGCAAGTGATTGGGCATGCGCATGAAAGCACCTGCCGGTGCATCCACTCTGGTCAGTATGTGTATGTATGCATATGTCCATGACAATGTATGCTGTGCAAGCCAGCAGGTAACGGAGCCTGGTAACACGACATGATACTGCAAAGGCCGCGACAATGTCATTGAAGCTTTCCCGCTTTAGGCTGGTCTCCGATGGCACCCAACCTTCAGCAAGAAGTAAGAGCAACATTCAACGGACTGAGCAACAGCAGGGCAAACCGACTAAGGTTGGGTTCGGGCCCGGCAAGATACGGAAGGTCCAGATTCCAACAAGTGAAGGTCAGAAAGAGACACTTTTAGTTCTGAGAGCCTCCAGGCACTGGCTCAGGCTTGGACAAGTGGTCGTCCGCGGCTGCATCGCGGAGGGCGGGGCTCATGGACCCCGTTCGTCCCCCAACCGGCTGCGGAGGACTGCACTCTCAGCTCTGGCCTCGAAAACTCTCTTCAATTTTTGAAGCGCTTGAAACTTTTCTCAAGCATCTCCAGGCCGTTTAAACCCTCTAACTGTTAACTCTCGAGCGCTCTGGTTGAAACCCAAGACTTCAAGCGCATAAATCGTTTTCACCCCAAGCCCTCTTAAACTCAAAGCCCTAGCCTCCCTTGCCGAGTTCCGATGCTCGAAGCCCACCGCGTCTTTTCGTGCGGATCCGACGGAGCCGCTTCAAGGGGTCCAGGCCACCAGGTGCACCAGACAGGTTTGTAGGGTTTGGAGTTAAGGCTTGCTTACCTGACTGCGAGATCTTCCTAGCACCGTTTCATACGCAATTAAAACTACTACCATGGCTGATACCAGCCGTACTTTCTTGCTAGCGGCCCTGATTCCGCTAGCTGTAGTGCTATGCGCAACATCATCACCGTGGTTTTCCTTCGTGACCATGTGCCTATACTACTCTTGAAAGCTTCACGACACGGTCGACCCCAATATAGACCCTCAATACGAGGATCCGTATTCAAGGCCTGAACTCCGAGTTTGGAAGTTATGAGTGCTTCACAATGCTGGCAAAGAAAAAACATCTAACTTCGACGCTTTTTCTCCAGGACCAGCCGCCCTCATTTAAGCCACCCAGCTTCGCAGCCTTGGGGATGGGGGGTCTGGAATTCTGTTGGTTCAGGGCTGAGGGTTGGCTTGGGCTTGGGGCCTTGAGGTGATGGCCTCAAAGGGTTTGCGGCTCGGAGCTTCGCGATGGCGCGTACATCCCAAGCCTGAAGCTGGGGGCTGGGATCCCAAGACGGATCTAAACCCCAAACCGGCCCAAACCCCACACATTGCCGCCCCAAATCCCAGGACCCAGCAAGGAAACACTGACCTCTTGAGCTCCCGGCGCCAGGCCGAAGGCTTCTTTGACCCTCGCCGGGGCCACCCGAGCCGAGTCCGGAACCTCAAAAAAAAGGGCTCAAGAGCCTGAGCCTTCAGGTGGTATAGGGCTCGGATACGCTGAGGTTTCTGGGGTTCATGGAAAATTCTGGAATGAGAGCAGTGGGGTTGTGGGGTACATAATTCCACCATGAATGAAGGAACGAAGCTGGGAATGTTCGAAGCCACCGAAGTGCGCACTTTAGCGTTCATAGGGTCTGGCCATCTTCCAAAACGGAACAACCTCCCGGATTCTGACTTCAATCGCAGAAAACATAACACATGAAGGCCCACAGATGCGCTCGCTGTGTCTAGGGTTCAGCGGCCCCTACACCCTACACCCGCCATGTTGAAAGCTCGAGCCTAAATGCTAAACCGGCTCTTATTTTTCAACTCTGTCAGCCGATCGAGCACAAGGCTCGAGCGAAAACTGGCGTCTGCCGCCTCGCAACATTTGAAAAGACATGCTGTAAAGTTGGGGCCGCCAATCCGGCAGTACGACAAAACAAGTTGAGCTGAGGAAAACACAACTTGCTGTACACCCAACCTCGAATCAGACCTTCTTCTGGCGGGATGGATCCCGGCAGAGGTATTTTCGCATGGTATCCTTGATGTCGTCGTCCTCAGGCTGCCATCCTAGAAGATCGCGCGCCCTCCTCAGTGCCGCTCAGGATTTAAGGCTTGAGGGCACCACAAACTGGAATACTACCCGCTGTCCACCACCGCAAATGAAGAGCCTGTGAAGATACACCCTGGGAGGCCTGGAAAAGACAAACAATTCGGTACACAAACAGGAACAGCTGAAAATGGAAATCGAATTCCAATGCACCTGCCGGGTGTCTTGTTGGAAAAGATGTATGTACGTTGCGTGAAGTTCAGGCTCACACGTGCGAGGCATGGACTAAGCAGAGCCTTGCCGAAGATGTTGCACCAGGTCTCGTTTATGCCAGCGAGACACGACACGACTTTTGCTGGCACAGGCTCAGCAGGAGGTTGTCCCCAGTAGCTTTTACCATCCTTCTCAACTTCGCTGCCAATCATGTGTTTGTATTGAATCCCCTTCCCAGCAGACAAGTTGATGATCGTTGTTTGCGGCCTCTGAAGAGTGCCATCTGCCTTGATTAGCTCATTCACGGCCATGACGTGACCAAGAGCAACGGCATCAACACCCACCATGTCTAGCAGGCATTCGCCATTGCCCTTCCCCTGAATCCATTTGTTGTCTTCACCCTTGGAGAGCTTGTCGTAGAGCACCTTGTCACCTTGAGCGCTGACTACGATGCTCTTTGGAGGGCAACTAGACTCTTGAAGTGGTGCCGGCTGTTCTCGCCTTCGTCCTATGAACTGGCGGTGTTGATGGTAGCCCATCATCAGTAGTAGCAGCAGTCAACGTAGTAGTCGTCGTCGTGGTCGTCGTCGCGTCCCAGTTGCAGTTGCAGTTGCAGCCGCAGTCGCAGTCGCAGTCGGAGTAGTACTAGTAGTAGTAGTAG